ATTAAATTAAAGTATAATAGAATAGTTAAAATAGTATAAAAAGTTAATTTAGATCATTTTTTATTTAATATAAAAAATTATAAGAATTAATTAAAATTTGAATAATTTTTATTAGAAGCAATTATTAATTTTTATATTGAGTACAAATCTTTTTGCACTGATCCATATTATTAAATATTTTTAAAATATTAATTTATCAAACTTGAATATTCTAAAAAAACTCTATTAAATAATATAAATAAATTTAGAAAAGATTTATTAATAATCTATTATATTAATTTTAATTATTATTTATATAATAAAAAATTAAAAATTAAAATAAATAAAAATAATAATAAAATTTATATATAATAATTTTTATTTATTGAATTTATTTAGAATATATAATTAAATTATAATTACTTAAATTTTTAAAAATTAGAATAATTTTCAAAAAAATATAAAATATTATTATAATATAACTTTTATAAAATTAACTTACTTTATATTTAAACAATATCTTTTCATTAAATATATTGTTATAGTAAATCTGATAAGTGAATTTTTACTTGAATACATCTTAATAATATTGGATTAGAAGAGACTGAATTAATTAATGAATAAAAAGAGAGAAATTAAACTATAACTTCAATACTAATAAAAATTTCTATGATCTGTGATAATATCTATGAATATTATCTTTAAAAAAATAAAATATAAAAGAAAAAAATAATATAAATCAAAGAAATTATAAATATTAATAAGTAAAGTCATTATTAATTAATTATAATTCCAGATTTAAAGTAATTAAATAATAAAGCTACTATTAATCAAAGAAAATTATAACTAAAAAAAAAATAAAAAACTAAAGTAAATAACAAAATAACTAATTAAAAAGAGCATGACTTATTTATAATAGAAATTTTCTATTCTCAAAAATAAATAAAATAGAAAGTATGACTTATTTATAATAGAGATTTTCTACTCTCCAAAAATATAAAAATAATATCAAAAATCAAAATTAATATAATATTATATCCAAATTAAATTAACTTTATATAATAAAAAAATAAAATCAAGTGAGAGAAAGAGTACTAGTATAATTAGAAAAGAAATTAAAAGATTATTATTATTATAATAATAAGTTATTTTTCAAATAATTCAATTCAAACCTATTTATTTCAAGCTGAAATAACAAGTTCTTTTATATATTTTTCAAATATATAAATTATTATAATATTACTAGTTAATACTATCTAAATATATATATCAATACTTTGAAATATTTTAACTATAAAGATTTATAACCTATTTATTATATTAAAATATTATAATATTAGTATTTTATTATTTTATAAGATTATTAATATATTATTATTTTATTATTTTACTAAAATATTAATATATCAATAATTTATTATTTTATCAGAATATTAATATATCAGTATTTCATTATTTTATAAAGAATCAAAAAGATTTTTAATTATACTACTCTATTAAATATACTAAATTAAATATATATGTAAAATGTAAATTGAAAATATAAATTTCAAATTAAGAGAATAAATTAATATTTAGAGTAGAAATATGAATATAAGAAATAAATATAATAAAAAAAATAGATATATAATTGAATAAAAATAAGAATAATTATATAATAAAGTATAAAATAACAAAAAAATAAATTTTACATAATTAAAAAAATATTATGATATTAAAGAATTTTATATTAATATAATAATATATAGTTTTTCATCAAAAAATTTTTGTTCTTGCAAAAATTAAGTAATAATCTTTAATATCTCTTTTCTTTTCAAATAAAATAACTTGAAAAACATAAAATTAAATTGATTATCAAACACTTCTACTTCAGATTGATAAAAAATACTTTAGAATGATATTATATAATTTATCATATATACATTTTCCAAAAGAATCTTCAAAGATAATTCAAACTTTTTTCAGTAGTTAAATTATTAGAATTTATAAATTCTATCTCCTTTTCAGTAGTTTCTTCAACATTAATTTCAGATTTCACTTTCAGAAAAGTAACAATAAATATATTTAATTAGTTAAAGTCTACTTTAGTAATTATATTAACTAATTCTAAAGATAATTTAATAGATTTAATATTAATTAAGCTTTCAAAATAAAAGTATTATTTACTTTAATATCTTTAGTAAATTCAAATTATATAACTAAATCTAAAAGAGAAATGTAAATTTTTTATACTTTATTCTTATAAGCAAGTAATCTAAAGATTAAAAAAATAATCATTTCAAAGAACTGTTAAATAAGTATTTTTTGATATATTATTTCAAGAGATTTGATAATTTGAGATAAGATTCAAGTTGATAATTGAAATATAATAGAATAATAAAAGTGATAAATATAAAGTAATAAAAAAAGTAAAAGATAATAAAAATAATAGATATTAAATATAAAGTAAAAAATATAAAAGAATAATAAAAAAGATAAGGAAAAGAGAAAGGATATTTATATAAAATTTGAATTAATAATTTATAAAAAAAATGTAATATTAATATTGAGATTTTTATAAAAGGTAAATATATAATAAGAATATAATAAAAGATAATATCATAGCAATTCTGATAAGTAAATTTTCACTTGAATTTATTTTAATGATATTAAATTGGAAGAAACTGAATTAATTAATAAGTAAAGAGAAAGAAATTAGATTATACTTTTAATATTAACAAAAATTTCTAAGCTCTATATCAATATTATCTTAAAAAGATGTAATTAAATATTAAAAGAATAATAAAAATCAAGAAAATTATAAAAATTAATTAGCAAAATCACTAATAATCAATTATAATTCAAGATTCAAACTTGTAATTAAAAAGACAAAAATGTTAGACGAAGTTACTCGTATTTATAAAGAATTTTTTTCGAATGCGCAGCATATAACGTCTTATCTCGATAAAGATCGCGTGGTAATTTCTAACAATATGACATATGCAAACGATCATCTCTACTACCCGCAGTTACTAATTATTTTCCCACCTATATGTGAAATTGCCTCCCGAAAAATATGTAAGATCTTATTCTCATGGAAATAAGCACCATTTGACTGACCACACAGTGTATGTTCTCTAAATTTTTTATAGTTCTATTGATACTGCGATAAGTATTTAATTCACAATATATTCATGATTGTAGTAAATGTAATCGATCGTTAGGTTGCGATGAAGTGTTTCAAATATCATAAACGAATTTGTAACGATAAGTACATAAAAAGCAAAAAATATTACAAGTATCCATGATAACTATTTATGCGAGCACCCATACACGCACACACTTGTCCAATTATATAAAAATACATCAGTTTCTCACGTATTTTCCAATAGCATGTGTCGATATTACATTTTTTGGCATGTGGTAAAACCGTATCATCACCATCACGTCATCGTTTCAAAAATAAACATTATGATAGATGTGTTTGTAATCAACATACTTTATCGATATTCGTGAAATTAACTTGGCTATCTGAGGGCTGGCTTAATGCATGGTACATTAGGATAAATAAAATCACATACATAAATGTAGATCATAATTGAGGATTTTTTGATGGGAAATAATTATCATCAATTTGATTTTTTTATTAATAACTAAAAAGAGATTAGCGTTTTCGATAACTTACAAATGATTTGAAAATGGTGTTGGCGTTTCCAATTCCATATTTTCTGCTTCTTTTCCTGATTTTTTTCCATTTTTATCTTGTGATATTGTACGAATATCTTGGAGTTTTTCTCTTGTAATATCAAGAGAGTTAGCATTAGGTGTTGACAAAATCATCCGAGCTTCTTGAAGTTCCAAATCCATATTTGGATGTACTTTCAAGTCATAACGATTAAACATTCTTCTAGTTATTGCTGGTGAACAACAATAGTCCAAATTTGGTATTTGACGAAATTATAAATAAGGGAATATGACCAAATAGGTTGGATAGAAGGTGAGGTTGCAAAATTGTAGAATTCGTTGTAAAATCTTTCATCTTTTAAAGCCTCAGATAATCCAAATGTATCCAAATTTCCTTCTTTGATAACTTCTAGGCTTTTTATATTCAAGAATTCAACCACTCTTTTCTGATAGTATGGAGATATAATTTTACCAGTAGGGTTTTCTTTTGTATATATCATTGTATTCATAAGAGAAAGTGCTCGAGGAACCTGAAAATTTTGAAAAGTATGCCACATGTTCACACTACGTACGTTGATTAGACACTGAGTAAAGATTAGCAAGGATCTTTTTTATTTAATATTTGAAAATTTAATAATACAGTTGATAACTGTCTAATTGCATACTGCATACTTTATAATTGCAATTTGAAGCATATGATTGATTTAGACTGTCTAAATGCATAAAATTGAAATTCTTTGGCCGCACCGATACTATGCAATTAGACAGTACCAACTGTACTACATGTATTAAGCTCGTATCACAAAGAAATGATAACAATAAACATGTATTTACTTCATTAATATTCGGGCGGTTGGCTCCCAACATGATAAAGTATTCTCCGAATTTATACGCTGTACATGTATTATCGATGTTCTACATAAAATTCAGGGGATGATTTTCACCCTGGAAATACATTTATTGCTAATGACTTATGCATTCTATAGCGATCTTCACAAAGTGGATTGTCAAAAGGCGATGTGATTTTTGTAGTAAATGCACAACATGTCAAAGCGATGCTGTATCAAATATCGCAAACAAATTTATAACGATGAATTGTCTAGCGGATATTCAATAGTAATATCTCCGTAAATACATGTACATGTTAGCAGCAGTAATATTTAGAATGCTATAATTAAGTCGACAAAACCGTATCTTTTTCCGACATGTCCTTTTCTTGAATTGTGTGTGTACGTACATGACAAATTTTTTCTGGTAATTTTGCGTTTTTTAATGGTTATCGTGAGGCGTATCTTATCATGACGATTAAATTAATATATAATTGATAAACTAAAATGAAGGCGTATCATGATTATTTGATTTAGATGACTGATAACGATGACGCATCCAGAAGCTATAAAAGTTTGCGTTTTTATTTGCTATCTTTTTCTCTAACTACACATGTATTCTTATTTTCTCTATTCCAATTATCTTCCGTCTTTGCACCATCCGAAGTATATATATATTTTATTATCAATAATTTTAACAAAGGCAGGAAACGTGTGTTCTCTATATTATAAAGAAGAAAATGGGAAAAATAACACGCTCAAAATCTTACAATGACCAAAGACACCAAGATCTTAATAATATTGCTCCGCGAGGAAAAACGCGGTCTGGGAGCCATTTGCGACAACAATAAATGCAGCAGAACGCACGAGAGCGTCGCGAGATAATTCTGAACAGGGTGGGATCCCCCCTCCACCTCGAACATCTTCAACGCAGAATTTTAATATTAATGGTGGTGAAGGTGGTTTTGGCGGTATTGGTGGTATTGGTGCGGAAGGAGGATCTGCTATGGGAGGATTACCGCCAAATCAACGAGTACAAACATTACACATTACCCCGGATGGAAATATCACAACCACGACGACTGTTACAATTAAAGTGACTACTGTCACAACAACAAATCCTACAAATGGGGCAGAAACAACCGCCATCAATAATTCTAATGATGATGCAATAGTTACTTTTCAACCGATGGAACCAATTTTCACTCTAATGTCGCCGAAAATGGCATCAATTCCCAATTATCATCCACCTGCAAACAGATCTTCTTCATCCGCTTTCAATCATCATTCAGCAAGGTGTAACTCAATAAATAGTCCACGAGACAGGCGCTCGCCTAATGGTGCATCATCTAGTCGTAGAGGTACAAGGAGTGGGACTCCTTCGAGAAGAAGTCCTATAAGTGCATCAAGTTCATCGGAGAGTTCTCACCCAACAATCTTAAGTGAAGAATCTCCCTCGCCGATCGCTGATGAAAAAGTAATCCTGGAAATTCTTTCGATAAAGATATCGATCAAAAAGAAGAATATTATGGTGGCGCTAGCTCTTCTACCTCATATAATAATAATAAAAATATAAAACAAGAAAGTTCTGGACCTTCATCACAATCCCAACATTATCACGTTATCATCAACTTCCCAAATTAGGAACATTGAGTATGGTATATGATGTTTGGAATGAATGGCATGAAGGATTAAATGGAAATCCTTCTATAGAGGAGTTGCTGACTAAATACGGAAGCAAATGGGCAAGTGATAATTCTAGTAGACTGTCTCGACGACGAAAAGTTATCAAGGAAGTTAAACGAAGAATAGAGGAATTTGGCAACGATGAGCGAATAGCTATTGAATCTCTTGAGACGATGCGAGCGGGAAATCTGCTAACTATTTACTCGATAAATTATCCGGAAGAAAAAAATAGTATCGTTCTTTGAATTCTACTTGTATTATAACAACATTTTATTTCCTTTAAAAATTACTAATTTCCATATAAAATTAGAGTTTTAATTACGCGATATACTTTATAATAACGTGAATATGTCTTTGATAAAATATTGCCTATATTTTTTGTCGCTAGAAGCTCTTCAGAGTCCTGGCGGGTGATCGTCGTCACAAATATTAACCTTCTATATTTTCCTTTACATAAGTCGGATTTCGAGTTTTGATGGCGATCAAATATTTTAATCCGATCCAAAACTAATAATAAAGTAAGAATTCCTTACTAATGCTCTTGATAGCATTTTTTGAGGTTTTGTTCTACTAATCTTAACAGGAAAAGCATGATTCGCGGCGGGAATCTTTCTTTAATCAAGCAAAAAGTTATTGCCGATGGATTCTTAGAAAACGAGATCAGGGATCGAAAAAAATCGATCGTGGGTGAGCTTGGCTTTAGCCCTAAATCAATCTAATCAAAATGAATTGGTGTGTTAAGAAAAAAACCTCCCTAGAGTGTTAAAAGAACGAAACAAATATTTTGACCGCATAGTTTAAAAGTTTAAATATTTTGTTTTTATTTATGCGCATCAAAGACAACGGACTTGCTGTCTAGGACTCCAATAGTGCTCAAAGAGCATTATCCGATGAAGTGTACATTAACAAGAACCACGGGAAGAATTGCTATATCATCAGACAGCGCAATCGTCCTTTTCGTCTTCTAACCGATATCTGTGCTATCAGCTCAAAATGTTCCACGCACACCTCAAACGGATATGAATCTTCCTTCTCAAGTACCGCTCACTACTGCTCCTACAGCCTCTATTAATAAAGATGTGATACAACAACAAAAACCTCCAAATATTGACGATTTTTTGTGGTAATTGCATTATTTATCGGTGGTAATATTTTTTCTATAATATTAACATTTTTATACTTGATCTGTTTTTAGTCCTATATGTTTGCAAATCATAAAAGAAGCGTTTATGGGAAGATGTGGTCATTC